GTGGGTGTCATAAAAGAAAGGACTTCCGAGTAACGAGCGACCACCTGAACAAAGACAATAAAGAAGAGACCTAACCCTAACCCAAACACTAGGTCTAACCCAAAAAAGAACCTGCAACAGCCCTCATGTAAAAAGGTCAGCACAAGTTCGTTTTTTTATATTTAAAAAAATAAAAAGCACACTCCAAAACAAACAAGCCTACATTGCTGCACTATAAAAAGAGTTTGATACAATAATACATAGAATAGGAATATGAATCCTCCATATAGATCTAGATCTTGTTATATTATAGATCTAGTGATCTAAATAAATCTAGATCTAGATCTAGATCTTGTAGAACAAGTGAATAGGAATAGGCCTTGAACGAGAAATCCGCATCCGATTCCAAACAGATGGACTCAGCTGAGTCTAGATCTAGAATCTAGATAAAGATTAGATCTTTATTCTAAGTAAATAATTCACGCACCTGATGAAATGCGTTTTACCAACATAAATATTACAGCACAACCTATAACAAGGTTTGACACAATAGAATTGGAATATGAATCCTCCATTGAGGTCTATAATGATCTATAAAACTAGATCTAGATCAAGTAGAACAAGTGAGTCAGACTCGAAAAAATCCACATGATCTGAACTATCAGTAAACAAACGAAATTCAAAATGGCCGCTCGAGTGCGAAACTGAAAGTAGATTATTTAGGTCGTCGTACTCGTCTACTACTCAGGTTCCGACAATTATGTCGGAAACGCCGACGCCGGCAAGAAAACGAAAGTGCCAACAAAGCCGATGGGAGAAAAAGGGGGCGCTGGCAGTCGGCCAGGCCTCACACAACGCACATTGACTGATACAGGTGGGCCTAGCGACAGCATCAGTCGGCTCGCGGGTCGGGTCGCGATTTTCGGATTTCAGACGATTGTCGGCAAACATGCAGGTCTATGTCTAGTTCACAGGGCAAATCAAAGTACCAAAGTTCACCTCACAGCTTAATTCTTTAGTCTATAGACTCCTACCACATGTCCCAGTGTGCCCTTGTTCTACATCAACATGAGCCTCAGCATGCAGCGGGGGACACCTTGCATTTATCCCAAGGGAGCTCAGGTCCTGTAGCAGGGCTCCCAGTGAAAAAATTTCCCAACCCCTGAACTTTGTCGGAGGATCGCGATAGACGCTACAAAGACGAAAAGGAGCACTGACTGAAAGGATCCATGTAAACAAACAAAACAAGGTATAATGGCACAAAACAAAAACACTTTAAAGGGGAGACCTGTAGATCTTGCGCAAGTTTCTGTTTCACTGTCTTAGCAAGGCCAAATTTAATTTTGTATGCAGCAGCAGATGTAATTGCACGGAAGCCAGGGCCTGTGGGTCTGTACTGCAGGCTTTAGCTTCATCCACAAGCACAGGAGCAAATGTCAGAGGCATTGAATGCTGAGCCATTACAGAGAGAATCATGGCTTCCATTGAGGCTACCCTGTCTGATAACGGAATCATAGGCACTGGCTTGGGTTGACTCGAGCTAGATCTAGATCTAGTATCACCTCCTCCATCTTTCTCATTTGAATCTGATGTTACTTCTTGCACTTGGGAAACTTTAGGGGATCTGAAAATTGGGAAAACCTTTTTGGATGGGTTGAGAAAGCTTCATTGATTGTCACATTCACCACATCTTCTAACCACTGATACTTCCACTTATTCTTGCAATCTTTGTCTTTTTCTTTCACAATGGCCTCTTCACTCTTTGAGAGAATGTGAACGCCATCTTCCAGGCGTATTTTATTTCCTAATAAAAATGGCCACCTCTATTCTCACCCGGAGTGAGAATAGTGCAGGCGAGTCTTGTGGCTATTCTCACCCGGCGCGCGTTCACCAAATTTTGCTTTCCTAAACCACAGAATTCTACACTGTGATAACAGAAAAATTGTAGAATTCTGTGCTGTGAACAAACGTTCCATTACAATTGTAGCCTACTAAAAGCGTACAATTTTGTCTGTGGGCAATGGAGAGAGAGAGAGAAAGAGAGAGAGGAGTAGCACGAGAATTTCCGGGCAAAACAAAATGGCTACCCGCGTAGTTCGGCTCGATTCGAAAAGTTAAATAGCCGTAGCATCTTTGTAGACAACCAAATTTATTTACTTTTGTGTTCTAACATCATTTTTTAACTTTGTTTTGGTCAATTTGATCGTCCACACCGATAGAAAGTATTCAGAAAGAGACGGAGAGAGAGAGAAAAGGGGAGGAGTTGATCTTGCGAGAACTTCCGGGCGGGTGAGAATAGCCACTTTCAATAAAAATAGGAAGGGGGGTTTCAGGGGGGCATGCCCCCCTGAATCATGGCCCCCTGAATTTTACCATAATTTAATGCTTTAAGGTTTGATATCTTAGCTCACCGCGAATCAAACGTATAGATCTAGAGATCTAGACCTAGATCAAATAAGGGGGGTGGGAACTACCGAAAAAGCACCGAAAAATGGAAGTCTTGTTTCCTGACTATCCTTTCGAGCTCCTAATGTCTTAGTGGGTCAATTTCTTCTATAATTTCGTTGGACGAACATCTAGAGCTACCAACTTGGCATGTTTTGAATGAGACGTATGCCTCGATTGGACCAACGCACGCGGTTCTAGAAGAAGGCCACAAACGCACGCAAACTCAAGCAGACTGACACACACACACTTGACCTGCGTGAATGGGGATCCGACTCGGGACCCGAATGACACGTAAGAGGATGCGCGCTGCGCGTGCGCTGAGCCAGGGGCTACACTGATTCGGGACCTGAACATAGGCGAGGTGCTGAAATAGGCTTATCGGGCGACATAAACCCGGCTCCCACAGGATGTGGGTTAACTTTAGATTGATTAGTTTAGAATCTAATCTAGAATCTAGGTCTAGATTCTAGCTTAGCCTTAGCTTGTTTTCCTTCACAAGGAAGGGGGGCGGAGGGGAGGAGGGCAACTCATGTACGTAAAGCAAAGACAAATAACATTTGCACAAATCACACCCTCAACAGAACGGGTAGTTGCGAATTACATTGCGAGCCATATATCAAAAAGTGAAAGGGAATTACTTCAGTTCAGTCACAGTTACAAGGCCACACGCCACAAGGCACTGTTTTCAATTTTATTGACTCCCGACTGAAGTTCAGCAGCAAGTTTCGATTTCACTCTTACTGCCATCGAGTTAGCCACTGCAAACAAAAACTATTGGTGCAGGCCGATTAATTCTTTCACCAACAATAAAAGCATCTAAGGGTTCTGGAGTTAAGGACAGGTGACAAAAGGAAAGCCGAAGCGAGAAACTACTCTCAACAATATTCAACAATCAAAAGCTCTCTCGGACGCGGGATGTTTTACGCTCTCACTCACAGCAAATCTTCATTTATACCGTTCTGAATGCAAAAATACAATATAACCTACATTACCATATAGAATGACAATTTAAATAATTTTGTATGTCGTTCGTGAGCTTGTCCTTACCTTATTTTCAGTGTTGTTTACGAAAAATCATCAATTTTTTCGACCTGTAATGGCGATTGAGGCGTCCGAACTCAAAATGGCTGCCAAAATAATACTCCGACATGCCTCAAACAGTGGAAATGTTTCATTTGTTGCATACCACCGTTTATTCTTAAGCTTTCAGAAGCCTATCAAATGTTTTTTCATAATAATTACACTAATGAAACAAATCAATGTAAATTAACGCCTCAAAATCAATTTTAACTTAGGAACTATTTGATACGAAGGGTGTAATTTGACCTACATTTTTACCTTCTCCAGTTGTACCAAAACATGCAGCAATTTGATTGGTGGACTTCATAAACTGGTCGAGAGAGATGTTATTTTGACAAGAGTGGCCTATTTAGCCTCGACGTGACGGCACAGAGCTTGGGGTGTGTTCGAACACACAACGTGCCGTTGATAATGATATTTGAGAATATATATGCCCGCTTGTCAGTTTGGCAATAGCTAGATGGGGATAGCGAATAGCCTTATCAGTTTGGACGAAAATGGGTTTTGGCTTTTAAATTCTACTAATAATACTTTTTACTGTATTAGTATTATTGTGCTGAGAGAATTAAGAGAGAAGAGCCTAAAGAGCTTGGGGGGGGGGGGAGAGATTTTATTTCTCCCCTTTGAACAAATTGTCACTTTAATAACAATTCAAGTAATTGAATTATCATTATATAAGGAATACCAAACAATTTAACCCATGCCACATCCAATTATATTTCAGGATTCTTGAGAAACTAATTACAAGGGTCGTAATTCAAATAGACTAGATTTATAGATTTTTATCAGGAGATGCAAGGCTCAGCAGTGATACTTGCTTACCCGAAAAAAAAAATGTAAGTGGAAAAAGGGGGGGGGGCACAGTTGGTCGTGCATTTCCCAAGCACAAGAGAAGTCTTATGTCTTTCTATTGTTTTTATTCAAAGTTTTATTTTCAAATTCTAAAACAAAGAGTAGAAATTCTCTTCTGCGTACGTCCTGCGTTATTCCAATTATGAGCTGAAAATGTATAAAATGCCTCGATCCCCGCAACATGAATGAAACCTTGAAAGTTGAGAGCGAAAACCCCAGTGTGACAGGCGGTAGATATAAACATGTACGCCAGCTAGATTGTATCTACATGATACATTTTTTTCCGCACTTGACGTATCATTCTAAAAAGCACCGTCGAAAAATTCAACCTTTGGGTCGTCGCACGCATGTCCCCGTAGGTGTGTACCATTATATTTTACTTTTAAATGTATCCTTTGATAATGCACTTTAATGATCTTTCTGTTCGTCGTGGGAAGTTGAAAGATGCAGTTCCACGTAAGCTTACAACTGTAATAATTATGTATGTACTCACTTTTTTGTTCACTCTCGTCTGACCGTAGTTAGAACACATCGCTCATCCGACGCTAGACCCGGCACCGGTCTTTGCATCATAATATGTAGGCCGGATGACCAACATAATCTGAAAACCTATTGAAAGCCACTGCATGCAATAGGTTCCGACACGTATTCTTTTATGCTACAGCCTCAAGCGTGTCAACAAATAATGATAAGAGGAAGCCGATATTACAAGACCATGCATGTAAAGCAGAAAAGTTGACATATATTTTTATCAGCACACACTTAATACATGTACTGGTTTTGTTTTTCTCTAGTGGCAAACCATATGATTATACCCTGCTAATGTTTGTTTCAAATCTGGTACTCTATAAGGTGAAGATCAAAGTAGGCCTATAAACGGCAATATTTTCATTGCCTGACCCTTATCTATGGCAAAGGTAGCAATATTAAATAATAGATCTTGATCTATGTATTTATTTTGCGTATCATCATTATACAAATTACATTACATGATAAGATAAGATAAGATAAGATAAGATAGTACTTTATTATCCCAGAGGGAAATTTTCCTTGGCTGTACAGGACCGTAAAAGCACAAGCAGGTAATTTATACATTAAAAAAAATTAAATCATATATATATTACTCTCATTAAAATTCAATATGAAAGGAGAAGTAAAGCTGACAAAATGTACATTTACATCAAATGCATCATTCAACCACGTGCAGGAATTTAAATACTAGACCTTTGGAGTTATATACAGATATATACTCTAAGAGCAACACACGTATATATGCTCATTCTGACAAAAGCCTTATGCTAGATGGTAAAAAACTTCTTTTATATCTTTCTTTCTTTGTTTTTGGAGGTACATATCTGCCGCTGCGTGATCTTACAACTTGTGTGGAAAAGGGGTGTGATAATGCTTTTTATATTTTTTTATACTTGTGGTGTTACACATTTCATCAATTCTTATAAAATCATATCCCGAGATCTTGCTGGTTTACTTAATGGTTCTGTCAAATTTTTCTTTATCGTCCACCTTACAATTCCCACCCCAGCATTAAATACAAAACAATAGCACACTTTCAATCATAGAATGGTAAAAAAGGGAGATAATCTTATTGTCAACACGGAAACCTCTTAATTTCCTTAGAGAAACATTCTTTGATTTACATTTTTTATGCACAAGAGCAGCGTGGGGATGCCAGTCAAGTTTGTTTTTGTTTTTGTAAGTGTTTTACGGCGCTCGCAACTGCATAAGGTCATATGAGCGCGAGGGCCACAATAAACTTTTTCAGTTGGTGGGAAATTTTGAATTTTGCCGGGTGGCGGCCGAAGCTTACTCATCGATTTTAGACCACCTATTTAAGGGATCTTTAACGTGCGCAACTTGCACACGGGACCTCCGAGATTTTTCGCCCTTGTCCGAGAAGGCTAGGTGTAGATCTTTCCTACCAGAAGATCAGGGGTGTGGCTGAAAGACAGCAGTAAGAAGAAGCCAAGGAGTAGCAGTAGAAACGCTGTAGAAAGAATCAGGAGCCCAGAGGAGGGGGGGGGGGGGAAGGAGATGAGGGAGTGGGGCAGAAAGAGGAGATGAAAGCAGACGACAGAACATTGCTAGAGAGCAGGAAAGGAGACAAATTTAGAGAAGAAAATTTTTCGATCACTACTCGGATTCGAACCCGGGACCTTTGAATGAGAGGCCAACACCTTAACCTCTAGGCCACGAGAGCCCTCTCCAGTCAAGTTTGTGGTCGATTGTTACACCAAGATACTTGTAAGAGCTTACCACCTCCACCTCTTCATGTTTAATAAATAGTGGTTGCAATTGGTCTTTTTTTACTGTAAAGTCTATTATCAATTCCTTTGTCTTTTTTACGTTTAGTATAAGGAAGTGGTTATCACACCAATTTGTAAATAGATTCACAGCGTCCCTGTATTCATTCTCATTTGTTGTTATAAGGCCTTGTAAAGTGGAATCATCCGCAAATTTTTATTAGTTTGATGTTTTTGTTATCAAAAGTACAGTCGTTGGCGTAGAGCGTAAACAAGACAGGGGAGATTACACAGCCTTGGGGCGCACCGGTGTTCGTTAATATTAGGTCGGAGAATTTTGTAGGCTACCGCAAACGCAGCGCTAAAAATATCACTCATTAGTTTACAAAAGACAGTGGAGGCCTTTTTTGCGGCCGGATGTGTCAATATTTTCATATGCTATGAAGGCAAATTAAAACATGTTTCTTGTCAAAATTTAGAATAAATTAGGTAGTCTTCTTATATTTATATTCCATCGAAAGCCATGAGCTAAAATTATTCGGTTTAGTTTTCAAACAGACGGCCTATCTCATGTAATAAGGGAAGACAAGTCGATTGAATTATAAAGGTGGCTTTGAGCTGCAAATTAAACATAAAAATAAAGGAAAAAATTACACTTTGATAATTATGCATCAATCCGATCAGACCTTCAATAAGACACACGATATATTATAGTTTCATGGTTACAATTCGACTTCACACTAATTTAATAAACTAACACGGCAGGTTATAACGCACCCCTCCTCTTTCGCTCCCTATTTCTTTTTGTCAAACCACATCTCTATCTCTCTAACACACACACACATATACACACACACACACTCACGCACACAAACACGTGTACCGTAGATCTATCAGTGGGTAGGCCTATATACGACGTAATACGGGGTGCACATTACGGATGTGATCGCTCGGTCGCTTCAAAAACAAAAATGTTTGGGTGGTTGGCCTATCAAACTGAAACATTCGTCTTTATTTCTCCTTCTTTATATTGTGTACTTTCTTGTACTTGTGATGCATGTACATGTACCTCTAATCCTTGGCCCCTATATGACCTAAATAAATGTGTTGCAAGTTCCGTAAAAAAAACTATTACAAAATTGTATTTCCTAAAATTCAAAAACAAACATATAAAGAGACAAACAAAACAACCCAGCCATAATAATAATACTGATGACCGATGACAGGCCCAACGTGTAGGCCTATCCTATTATTAGTCAACTCAGCGTTATCAAGCGTTTACAAGCCACCCTGAGAAATTGTGACCGATGCTTTTCAGCAGATACCGTTTAGGTTTTTGACACTGATTGGGAACTCATGCTAAAAACACAGGCCTAAAGAAGATCTCCCATTATTGTGTGGGGACATGCATTAGGTACGCCACACGCTGAGCGATAACAATGCACTGTGTCTGAATAGGCCTACTAAGCCTCGGGCATCTCTCACTCAACGACACGAATGAGCTCGATTTCGATTCAGCGACATTCAGCGTTCCGTTCCGCGCAAAGTTCAGACAGGAAGTTGGAGAATGTTTTGAAATTTTCATTATCTCCCCTCATTCAATATGGCGGCCCCCATTATAATGTTGGTAATGTAAACGAAGTTACTTTCTTACCCAGACGACACGTACGTCGTCATGAGTCAGCTCTTGAAGATATATCTGTTTCATTTGTTCTTACCTGCATGTTTCGATTTGAATACAAAACTTCGAACCTACATGATATGAAGCAGGCTGAGGTAAGCCTACACTTGTGACACCTGTGGTCCTGATGAACTTGAATGGTCTGAATTTGAACAAGTGAAATAGGCATTACACAGACTTTAAGTAACTGTCAACAAGTAATCTGAGTTGGTATGAGTATAATGTTTTAGCCCCCCTGAAACCCGCCTACTGTTGGGGCCAAAACCCGCGAATAACAAATGCGGGATGGAAACTACCGAAAAAGCGCCTACTTTTTTGTTGGGTTGTCGTGGATCTTGACTTTTATGGAAGAGGCTAGCCGTACTTAATGATGGCTAGACTGCTTGGCGGCTAGACTGGTTGGCTAGCCGTAAGTATGGCTAGACAGCTGGGCTAGCGTACTTTTTAAAAAATATGTTGGCAAGACTGACCACAAAAAAAAATTATGTCTACTGAGTCGTAAATAAATAAAAAGCCTGTAAGATTGTACTTTACTGGACCACTGGTCGGAACTACATTCGCTATGGCGCCCCTGGTGCCTAGTGGCCCGCTATTCTTCCTTTCCAAGCTCCCCTACTCACTTTTCTCCGTCTTCATCTTTCGACAGCCCACAATCGACTGACGTCTCTTTCCGGGTTTTTCAGTCATCACGAACATGCTACCGTGCCCTTTGACTCACGACCCTGCACCTTGAGGCTAATTGGTCAATCTAATCATGTGGTCCACTATTCTTATTTGCTCACGACTCTGCTGGGCTAGGCCTTGCCTACTCCTGGTCGGGCAAAGTACAATGAAGGGTGAGAGATGCGGACGAGAGCTCATTCGCATAATTACAACCCCATCGGCCCTGCTCGCGACTTGGCGAGTGCTACGAAGCAAGACTCGGCCTGTTAAAACTCTAATTAAATCTACCCCGATTGTCCGCTCATGTTATTGTTTATATATGTGTGTGTGTTTGTTTTTGAATTATTGTTGCCAGGGGGGGCTAGCATAGCAATAATTACTAGATCTAGATCTATTGAGACCTGTGTACTCTACAGGTTTGAGTCGATAGGGCCAAACCTAGATCTACGTACGGCTAGACTGGCTGTCTAGCTGTACTTAGACTCTCAGGCTAGCCGTACTTAAGTACGGCTAGCCACTTTGCATACTGATTTGGCCACCTAGGTGAGAATAGCTCATGACCCGCTATTCTCGACCCGCTATTCTCACCCCGCTATTCTCACCCCCACCCCGGTGTGAACATGAGGCGAGCCTTTAATGTTCTTCTTTCAAAAGGTATATATGGAGACAAGAGAGGGTAAGGACTATGCAGACTACGCAAAAGCAAGAAACCAAGCCAAATGGGAATGCTGCAAGGCAGTACGAGACCTTGAAAGAAAGATAGCCCAAAAATCCAAGCAAAACAAACCCCAAAGCATTTTTCAAGTATGCCAAGAGCAAACTGAACACAAGGAGTGGTATTGCGGATCTGGTCTGTGATGATGGTAGTGTGGCAAGCACGAACAAGGATGTTGTTGTTGTTGTTGTTTTCAAATCCCTTTAGCTGCGAGCATTTCGCTCTTGGCAGCGCAATGCCTCCCTCAAGTAGCCACATGTCCTTGTCATCTGGTCAGCGCCAGAATAGAGCAGGCCTTGTAAGTCTGTAGGTGTGTGTAGGAGCCTGCATCGAAGAACTGCCAGGTTTGGGCAGTGGAAGAGAAGATGTTCAACGGTCTCCTCGTGGTAGTCACAGTGTCTGCAATGGGGTTCCCACATGGGGTTAATTCTATTTATGTGCTTGTTGGTGTGTAAGTGTCCTGTGCGCGCTCTGAAGATCAAAGTCTGATCAGCTCTACATAAGATATTCGATGGGTCTTTGGGGTTGGGTTTGTCCATGTATCCGAAGAGAGATTTTCCTGTTTCTGCATTGGCCCATCTGTTTAGCCACTCGTCTCTGCTTTTGGATTGGATGATCCCTCTGCAGGCCTGTAAAGAGGCGGCTGTGTCTGTCTGGGGCAGGCTTGCTCCAGTCTTTGATAGTTGGTCTGCAGTCTCATTCCCTGGTACTCTAGAATGGCCAGGCACTCACTGCAGACTGCAGTGTGACCCGGACGCCATAGGTAGTGCCCATCTGTTTTACAAGGCTGAGAATGTTCCTGTCACCTCTGTAGTCTCCTCCTCCCTCGACGGCTTGGAGTACTGACATTGAGTCAGAGAAGACAACAACATCCCCCGGTGTTACAAACAAGGATAAAGCCGAGGTTCTCAATACTTTTTTCTGCTCAGTCTTCACGAGAGAGGACACAAGAGAAATACTGGAGTTCCAGCACAGAGATGTTAATTGTAAGTTTGAAGACATGCATATAACTAAAGAAGATGTGCTCAAGAAGCTTGCTAAGCTAAATCCCAACAAAGCCCAGGGTCCAGACAACATCCCATCATCCATCCTCAAACAATGTGCCACTGAACTAGCTGCCCCGCTGGCAACTCTAATGAATAGGTCACTGCAGGAAGGAGTTATACCATCCGAGTGGAAGCTAGCCCATGTTTCACCTATCTTCAAAAAAGGCAAAAAAGACACCCCCGGAAACTATCGTCCAGTGAGTCTAACGAGTGTGGCCTGTAAGGTATTGGAATCCATCATCAGAGATCAGCTCATAAAACATTTTCAACAAAATGATCTGTTTAGCAACTGTCAACATGGTTTCATGAGCGGCAGAAGTTGTTCAACCAACCTATTAGCGGTGCTGGACCTATAGACTTCAATCATTGAGGCAGATGGCTGTGTCGACACCATTTATCTAGACTTTGCTGAGGCCTTCGATACCGTCCCACACGAACGTTTGTTGACAAAACTGGAAGGCTATGGAATTGAGGGACAGATTCACGCTTGGATAAGGGACTTCTTGACTGATAGGAAACAGTGTGTGGTTGTAAATGGAGAGGAGTCATCCTGGGAGCATGTGCAGTCGGAAATCCCTCAGGGAAGTGTGCTAGGTCCGTTTCTCTTTGTATGCTTCGTCAATGACCTCCCTGAAAATATCCTCTCTGCTACTTTTCTGTTCGCGGATGATACGAAGATTTTTTTTTGCTGAAGTACCCGACTATTCGGACAACCTCCAGGATGACTTGAACAGACTCCAGCTCTGGTCTGATGCTTGGCAATTGAGGTTTAACGCAGAAAAGTGCAAAGTTATGTACATTGGGAAAAATAGAAACCCCTGTGAGTACAAGATGACATCCAAAGGTGAACGCATCACTCTAGAATCTGTATCTGTGTCACTAGAAAAAGACCTAGGTGTGAATATTGATAGTGATCTAAAATTCAGCAAACATGTCAGTATCCAAGTCAACAAAGCCAACAATCTTCTAGCACTGATCCGGAGAGGTTTCACAATGCTGGACAAAGTGTCCCTTTCTACTCTGTACAAATCAATGATTCGTCCTCATCTTGAGTATGGAAATGTGGTCTGGTACCCCAGACTTAAAGGTGATGAAGAACAACTTGAAAAAGTGCAACGTCTGGCCACAAACTAATTTCTGAACTACAGCACCTTTCTTACTGCGATCGTCTGAGAAAATTGGATCTGCCATCGCTGTACTATCGGAGAGCTAGAGGCGACATGATTGAATGCTACAAGTATTTAACAGGAATTTACAACGTAACAGGAGACATTTTTCCGCAGGATCTACACTGTAACACTAGGGGACACAGCCAAAAATTGAAGAAAAAAACCCCCATGTGAAAACAGCAGTCCTCCAAAACTTCTTCAGTGCACGCACAGTTAACGCTTGGAATTCCCTACCGGAAAATGTGGTGTCTGCACCATCCTTAAATGCTTTCAAGAATAGGATTGACATGGTCTGAAAGGCACATAAATCCTCCATGAACCTAGATTGGTTTCAAACTGCCAGATCCATGAGCACCAACCTACAGATAACAGAGTGCGAAAACAACGAGCAGGAAGAAACAAGCAATGAAAGCAACGAACGGCTGATAGGCGACTAGCCTGACCACTGCCGTACTTCAAAACTAAACTAAAATAAACTTGAAATTAGGCTAGATCTAGATCTAGATATCTAGATCTATAATTGTGAGGACCCATATGATGATAGACATCAGCTGCGTTCTGCTCTTGATATTTCGTCCTTGCATAACCATAGATCTAGATAGATTTAGATCTAGATCTAGATCTAGTCTAGATCTTAATCGTTTTGTGTGTGTGTGTTTCTTTTTTCACTGTTTGCTGTTCTTGGTGTGAAATGACCTTCACCCAGCCCATTAAAGAAACTAAACCTGAAACTTATCTCAACAACTTATAAGTATTCTCTGTGCTGTTCTGGGTGTGTCTGTGCTATAGACTAGGCTATAGGCCTACTGTATGTTAGCACTCCTGAGGGGGGTGAGAATAGCCTATGGCCCTATGTCTTGCTAGTGAGAATAACCACTTCCTATACTTATATATATATAATAATATAAGAAAAGATACACATCTTTATTGTCCAGATCCTGGCACATTGGTTTGGAGTTTCACCGCGTACGCACATACACACACATACGCACCCCTCCCCCGCCGCCCACACACGCACACAAACATGCACACACATGTATACGTACGCACATGTGCACACCACCCATACACACACACTCTTCCACACACATCTGTGCACATAACCGTAATAATATATAATTGTATAGGCCTACTTGCACTCTCAAACATTTGTTATTATGATTGTAATACTTATATCTCATAAATGGGAGCAAAACTGATGTGACCCTTGGCCCGGACCTGGTCAGCCTTTTACTGCTAAAATAGGCATTAAATACAATCTGTTTGAAGCCTTAAAAATAAGACAATAAGATTGAAGATTGCCTGTAATAGAGCTTTTGCCAATAGGTGGGTACCTAAAATGTAGCACAAAGGGTTGATGATAACAATTTTGATATTTCGTTTTTACTTGAATTTTTAATTAAAATTCTTATATATCTCCTCCTACAAAAACATGTATTTACAGACCTACAGATGGCATGCTAAGCTGTGTAAACTGGCGTTACATAACATCAAGTCTAATTCTTTCGGACATAGCTATAATGACACATTTTTTAGAATTTGAACATGCAATTCAAAATTATTTTAACAGAGTTCTTATTGCTTTAATTTTCAAACATAGCATGAAGAGCATCCTATATATTATAATGGTGAGGATCACAGAAAAAAAAAAATCTAAATATCTTTGTGTTCGCATTTATGTCATCATAGTTATGTCCGAAAGAAATGAAAAACTTTCAATTTTCCTAATTTAATTCATAAAAATTTTTTTTCGGCCAGCAAAGATTCAGGAGATTCAGTTTGACTCTTAATGCATGCTAATTGTGAAAAAATGCCACTTAATTCACATTTTACTATGATTATGCAAAATACCAAATATCTTTTGAACATAACCGAACCATGATGACACATAATGGATAAATGTTTGTCATCATTTTGGAACATTCATCAATTTACATCAAATTTTCCCCTCTCCTTGAGACCTAGTCAAGCATGCGTGGTTGCCTCTAGATCTACCACTTGACCATTGGAACGCAGTGCGATGTTTATCATTACTTGGTTTAAATTTAAATAAATGGGGGGATATGTTTTTCGGACATAACAGATTTTTTCAAACATAACATGTTAAGATTTGATGACGGCATAAGAAAACTTAAATGAATTTGTCTCATCCATCATTATTCTTCTCGCCGTCTTGCATCGAACAACGATACGCTTTGAATAGATCGACAGGAACAATGCATGTTCCTCCACCCCTATTATTTCCTGGGGCAGAGAGTAAACATTGAACGATATTATGATACTCTTTCCAGGGCCCCAAAATGACCGATAGAAACGAAGTCTCGGGGAACCTGAAGTTGCCTTGCGAAATGACTACTTGAGTTATGCTCGAAAATGAAAATCTAGAAGGCTCACAAAAAACCCCCAAACAGCTGCAGATATGATTATTCCTGATATAGCACCACAATTAATGTAGTTATAGTAGTAAAAGTGTAGAAGGATGAGTTTCTCAGCAATTATTTCATTGTTGAACTTGACGACAGAAAAAGTACGAACTCGACACGTCACATTTTACATTAAAAAAATACATCGATTTCAAAACTAAAATAATTTGTAAGATTTCTTCTGATGGCCCGACTGCTATTTCTCTGCTCCCATAGCTGAAACATCATATTAAGCACAGCATTTATACAAATTTCAAAGCTGTAGCACCATTTTTATTGGAAAAAGAAAGGCTTTGTAAGGTATATATATGAAGAAACCCCCACCTATTGACAAAGATTCAATAGGCCAAGGCCTATTTAACCATTTAAATAAAACCTTATACAGAAGTAGTAGACTATGTAACCGAGTCTATTGTTTTATTTTAAATTGAGTTTGCTTTGGACCTTCCCTCCCCTTCCCCTCAGTCCAAGGACCGGGAGTAAAAATTTTGGGGTGTTTGAAAAAGAATATGTAGACACTTCATATTAAAAATGAAGAATGTAGACTCTAATATTTAGAAGAAAAAAAAATTGAATCCCATATCAATCTAAATGAACATTACAAGCAAGTAACGTTTTAACTACTAGGCCTACTCTCTTCCCAACTTTAAATGTACTATGTAATTTTATTTCAGTTAGAAAATGAAATGGAAGGCATTTACTGGTGATCCAAAAAAAAACTCACAACATTTTTCGTAAATGTTTTCCTTCACACTGAAGCTTTCATCTTCAAATTTGAACACAATATTCCTCATTCAAAAGGAATTTGACTGACATTCATTTTAGATGATTCCACTAAATAATTCTGCCATATAATGCACATTAAAAAAACAACCCATCTTTTTTGCTTTTGTCCCCTTTTATTACACTACACACCAATACGCATTACCACAAAATGTCGTGACAAATTCTGGACGGACCTGAGGAGACACCGGCACTTGGATCACCCAGACCAGTGGTTCATGCAAAATGGGGCCAATCCACACGTTTCTGTCAGATCAATGACATGGCTAACTGACCACTTTTGGAGATCTTGTGGTCAGTCGCAGAAGTGAACACATTTGGGCTCCGCATTCTCCTGACCTGAATCCTTTAAACTTTTTCTTGTGGGGCTATCTGAAGGACAGGATATTTCAAAACCAGTTTGAAAACTTTGAAATTATGAAACAAGCTATCCGTGATGAAGTGAGAAACATTCAGTGGGAACTGTTTGGACGTCATTGAGCATTTCAAACGACACATTAAAAGATGTTTGGAGTCCAAAGGAGGACATGTGGAACATTTGTTTTAGAAATTCAAGAACAAAAATGTTATTTTTTTAACTCCCTAAGAGAAGTTAAATATTGTTTAATGTCACTGGAACAATTAAACAATATAGAGAAAAAGAAGACAAAAATCAAATCAATCGTCTCATGATTTCCCTTGCGTGAGTGTCGTTCTTTAAAATTGGCGCATTTTGCATTTATGGGTGTTTTTTTCTTTATTTTTTTTTCCGTTCTGAAAATAAATTTCTTCTGTATGAATTTTATGTCAAACAAATTCCTTTTGAATGAAGTTTATCTGTTTCAAATTTCATCTTTCTAGAACAATGTTTGCGCGAGATATGTAGAAAAAAAGTTGTAAAGTTTTTTTTTGATCACCCTGTATATTAGATTTTTATTTTCTTGGCTGGCACTGGCTGAAATTAGTTTCAATACAATTCATGGAAAGAAAAGTAGAAAACAGTTTATGGCCTACACATTTTCAACTTCGACAGATAATGTTTGAACCGTAAAGGTCTACATTTTATGTCCTGTGGTGATGTGTAAATGTGCAAACGCAGTGGGTTTGCCTTTCCCACCTTTTTTGGGGGGCATCGTCCTCGCTTCCCTCTTTATGGCGAATGGTGTTTTTAATCTACAGAAAATGCGTCGCTACAGTGGGTTGGCCTTTCATCCCTTTCGGGTCACTCCCCCAAACAGCAAAAACAGTGAGGGATTGCCAACTAAGGTCTGCCCTTAAATTTCATTCGCCTTCATTCGCATCGCGTGTTCCCACTGTGTACATTTTAGTAGTAAGCCTACTGTTGTGTGTTGTTGGTGCCTCGCTTGTTACCCTGTGTACGTTCTGGTACAGTTGTGTACTGACTCTGTCCCTTAACCGATTAGAACTGAATTAGAGATTAAGGACCTAGAAATGTTGAGCACGGCTGTAGAAAAAGACAAACCCTTTATGACAAGACAGACAGGCATTATTGCAACAGAAATTATGTAACTACTGAAAGGAAACAAATTACAGAAGAAGTTGGGTGTACTGGTAAATAATTTTGATGTCGTCTTTTCAATTAGTACAAGAACATCAACTTCACATCTGCCATCTTTAAATCTGAACGAAAAGGGGAGTGAAGGAAAGGGACTCCACTCTGTTGCTTCATATCCCTTCCTATTCGCCTTCCTCTCCTCGCGATTTTTTGAGGAGGTGAAAGGGGAGGAAAGAACGGTCTTCTGTGTTTGTACCTTTAAAATAATAGTAATGCCTGGAGTTCTGAGTGGCCTTCGCTCCTGCCTATTTTCCTAAGACAGCATAATAAAAAATATTTCCTCACATTTCAGCATAAAGGTTATGATTTTCAAGTTCCAACCAACTTTGTAGAAAGTGGGAGTCAGGATGGCTGTCAGAATTTAAAGACAAAGAGCTGACCAAGAAAAGTTTAATTTTTGGAGAAAAAAAAATCTGAGGAAGTCTAAATTTGCTTTTATTACATTTAATTAGGTGGAATACAATGCTTGGTGCCATAAGTTGGAAGAAAAAAATTAAGTGCAAGAGTAAATGATCGTAGGGCCTAGTGGTTGAGGGTGAGATTATGGCAGTAAATGGAAGATGTGGTAGTGCAGGAGGAAAGAGAGAGGTATGGAGGTGAGAGTTATAGAGGCAGGAGATGAGGGGTCAGGTACGGGATGAGATGGAAAAGAGTACATGGAAACAGGCTCAGGTGGTTGATTTGTTTGTTGTTGATACTTTCATTTTAGTGGTGTTCAGAGATATTTGTACTCTTTGAAATGAAACTGATGGGCAATGGTATTGATAAATCATAACATAATATTATCATACTATGTATTGTTCTATTTTCAGGTGTGAGCAGAGGCACATATGTCAGGATGGATGATTTTATGTTCTCCCTACTCATAATGTTAAGTTTACTCAGTGTTGCAGCATACCTGCTGTCTTTGTACAGAAAGTATCGTTTGAGACATTATTCTGTGCCAGTTCGAGATCCTACCAAGGGTCATAGGTTTTACATGGTAGACATGTTCACTGCCATGACTTATTGTAATGTCGAAGAATGTCGCCTGATCCATGGAGCTCAGTGTGACACCTGTGGTATCTGTGTTGACGATCATAACATGAAAACAGCGAACAAAAAAATATCGTGCAAAGTAGCTTCTAGTAAAAATTCAGTGATGACCCACCATTGGGTAAGAGGCAATTTACCTGCCTGCAGTGAATGTGCTGTCTGTGAAGAGGAGTGTGGAGTAGTGCTGGCCCTCATTGACCTGCGTTGTGCTTGGTGCAAACGGACTGTGCATGATGACTGTGCACCAAAAACAGTTACATGTGACCTGGGCACATACCAGAATTTTATTGTTCCACCTAACTGTATTGAAGTGAAATGGGTTGGTGTTAAAGGCACAAGGCAAAGACATCAAATTGTTAAAAATGTCTGCCGGCCAAAGATTGAAAAGTGGACTCCTCTCATTGTCATAGCAAATAGGAAAAGTGGGAGTAATGAAGGAGAGCTGTTGCTAAGACACTTCAGAGACATCTTAAACCCAGCTCAGGTTAGTAATATAGTAGGTTCATGTGTATTACAACTTGCTATTTTAAGAGTCTTGTGTGGATTTGTGTGTTAGTGCGTGCATGTGCTTGTGTGCATGAATGTGTGTGGATGTGTGTTTGTGCGTTTGGTGTGCATGCATTATGATTATGCATGAACCCATATACCTTGTCTTTGTCTCTTTAGTTCTAGTCGTATGGAATGCTTTTCTTGCTGTTTTTTAAATTAGGGATGTTTGATTGAAGTTTTATAACGTTGTTTCTGTTTGAAGAGTGTTAAAGCAAAATTGAGATTTTAAAAATAAATTGTTTGTATTTCTGTCTGTTCAGGTTATTGATATACAAGATGTGTCACCTGAAAATGCGTTAGAATGGTGCAATTTACTTCCTGATGTCACATTCCGACTCCTTGTCTGTGGTGGAGATGGTACCATTGGTTGGGTACTCACTGCCATTGAAAAACTCAAACTTCAGGTATGGAATGAGGTGCCAAGGTGTGTAAAAGAGGCAGGCTTATTGAATATCTATCTTTATAAGAGAGTTAAGTCATAGTTTACTTTTCAAAATGTACCCATAGACTTATCTTTCTTTCTTTTCACTTCTCTTAGTGAATGTTGTTTTTTGCTGCTCTGTCCTTCAGAGGGAGAGAGGAGAACTGTATGTGTACATTATGTAAGCTATTCTCAACAGGTTGACTAAAAAACAATACATCAATCTAACCTTTACTTCATTTTTAATGTATTTTTTTACTTATTGGTTAATCATTTTTTGAAATACACATAGTCACACTGAAGCAATGTACGGTTTTCATTCTTGTGGTCAACGTATGGTGGGGTAAAAAAAATCGAAATTGCAACTGGAATATTTTCTATAAGATATATGACGGAGGGATGGAGAAGAGAGAGTGAGAGGTTGAGGAACATAATGATGAAAAGACTTACAGACAGAAACAGACAAAAACAAAAGGAGTAAGGGTGGGGGGAGACAGAAAAGAAGACGGTTATGTTTAAGTAATTTTCATTACTTTTCTTTGTTCTCATATGGATGTTTTCATTGTTTAATACTTTTTTTTAGCTTCTGACCCAATATAATTCACCTGTTTATCTCGCAGAATCCGCCAAGACTGTGCATTCTTCCCCTTGGAACTGGAAATGATCTGTCTCGTGTGTTGGGTTGGGGAGAAGGTTACACGGGCGATGTGGATGTAAAGGAAATTCTGAACAACGTTATCAAAGCACATGCTGTTCAGTTGGACAGGTAAGAATGAGTGAAAAAAATAATATTTCCTCTTGTTTAGTTATTCTTTTTAATCACAACATAGAAATAATTATATGAAAAAAGATATCTCCTCAGAGGAGCAGATTGGACACATAACTGAAGGAAAAAAGTGAAATGCATTAACTTGGTTGCGATTTGTGAACACTGTTAATGCTGGGAAAGAGCATGTTCCTTGCTTTGCTGTTGTTTTGTCATGATTATGATCAGTATTAGCTCTGTTATTAATGATCAACTATATTACATATTTTTTGCTTTTCAATTATACTGGACCTAATGTTACATTTCGGCGTTATCACAATATGGTTCCATTAGGCTTTCCTTAAAACAGATATACAGTATTTGGCTTTTGTTCTTGTTGGCATAATGAATCTAATTTATTTCCATCATTTGGCCTCATTTTCTTTGTCTGTTTTAATTCTGCAGGTGGACTGTGGACATAAGGCATGAAAAGCACTTTGGATTTGCCAGGCCGTCAAAAGTAAGATGTGACACAGATCCCATTTTCCTCTTACTCTTGGTTTTTCAAGCTTGTCCCTTCTGAATACATGTGACAGGTGGCAGGCAATCACATGGACTTGAACAACTATTGCATACATAAATGCGTAGTGTAGTTGATTTATTGAAAATCTGAAGTTCAGGGACATAAGCCAGTGGTTCCTTATTTGGTTAAATATTGATGACACAAGAAGTGATACAATGGCAGTGCAATGACCCTTTTGTAAAGACAGATTAGCCATGTTTTGTTTGTGTCTATTTTCATCAGGAGTTGGTAATTTCTTAGTTCTTGTGTTTCTTACACATTCTGTATTGCTATAAAAATCAAAATAAGCATGTCTATTATAATTGTTCGGTTTTTTTTTTCTATTAAGTTCTCGGAGGGTAATAGAAGTAGGTTCTACTTTGTTACTGTTGCTTTACTTTACAGATTGTTTGTCTTGGATTTCCATGCATTAAATGAGTGTTATTGTGTCAATGTGCTTTTGTTTAACTCAAATTAGAATACAACACAAGTGTAGTGTGCCTTCAACTGTATGTTTATCTTTCATATTTTCAGACTTTCATCATGAACAATTATCTGTCTATTGGTGTCGATGCTCTTGTGACCTTGAATTTTCACAAACAGAGAGAAAGCTGGCCGTCCCTTTTTGCACACAGGATTATCAATAAGGTTGGTGTTCTTTTTGTTTTTCATTTCTTTTATCAAGATGAATCTAATGATAATTTTTTCCTGTCAAGTTCTTGTGTTAGGGCATGCTGATTATTATGTTGCTGCTGTTTGTACTGTTTCTCTTGCTCTTATTGCCACTGCCATTGTAGCAAAGACATCAAGTCTACCCACTAAAGTTCCAGAAACTCTTTCTGCTCTTCTGTTGCTTCTCTTATTTCTCTCATTCTGTTTTTTTCCCTCCTCCTCCTTTGTTGTTCATCTCGTCCCCTTCCTCTGCTGTTGTTGGTACTTCTTTTCGTCCTCCTCCTCTTCTGTTGCTTGTACTCTCCTTTCCACTGCTGCTGCCTACTTTATTCCTTCTTCTGTGGTATCGTTGCTCCTTGTTCATCTCCTCCTCCTCTTCCTCCTTTCCCTCCTCTTCCTCCTCCTCCTCCTCCTCCTCCTGTCTTCCCTTGGATGTTTTCTAATTTTGTTCTACTTCGTCTTCCTCCTTTTCACCTGTTACTGCTCCTTTTCCTCCCCTGCTAACGTTGCTGTTGCTCTGTTGTGAGCTTGAGTCTTGTTAAAACGTCTCAGTCTGTTGTCCCTGCCATCTAGTGTATAACTTTGCTTAAGACAAATACATTTTGTCGACTTGTATGTTTCAAAAAGACAAAGGCATGTGTAATTGTTGAGAATTAAAAATGTATTACAATCTGGTCTTTTACGTTTTCATTCTTCAATTTTTGTGCTTATGTCCCTTGCGTGTGCCTTCACAATTTCGAGTTTTGTCTGCTGCAGTTTAGTTAATGGAAGAACTCTGTTACTTGTTAAAAAAAAGAAGAAAAGAAAACTCTTCAAGTAACTGCATTTTGTTGAAATGATTTGCGAATCCCTAAAACGAAAAATTAAACTGTAGTCGCTAATTTTTTAAAGCTTACAGTGAAAGAATCAAGCACAACTTGACCAAGTTCTACAATCATGAGTGTGATTGTACGTTTAGCATAATTTTTCAGTTTACTTTGTTTTGCCCCTTTGGTTATCCTTGGAACCGATTTCCAGCCTTTTGCAATATCTAATTTTTTTATTGTTGGAATGTTTTTTCATTTGTGTTGAAGCGGAAAGCATATGAAAAAGAGGGAAGGGGTGCCCTCCCAAAGAGCCTGCTGGTGGTCCGGGGGTGGGGGTGGCGGTTGGGGTACAAAAACCCTACCGGTACGTTGATAGATTGTGTTGATGCTAATTTGCTGCCTTGAATAACGAGATCCTTGTGATGCTCCTGAGAGTAGGTTTTTTTTGGGGGGTCTCTTTATTTTCTGCTCAGTATAATGATGAGTCAGTGATAAGATCTCCTTTTTTGTTTAAGATGCACATGAATATAAATGACAATATACTTTTTAAAAAAATGCTCTTTTTCTTCCGTTTCCTCCCCCTTCTCGCCATTCCTCTCCTCCGTTAGGTAAGCACCCTTCCCTTCTAATTCTAAGAATCCACCTTTTTATCATGTAACGCCGTTTTGTTCTCTATAATTTACTAAAATTTGCAATCCATCTAAGAACCCTGTTTGAGCTCAGGCAATAAACTTTTTTGGGCTCCTTAACCATACCATACTGTGCACGGGTTGATGTGACGGGAGGCGAGTGGCAGGCGACAAATTTTACACACTACGAGCATATTTTCACAGGGCGTTTTTTTTGTTTTTTTGTTTTGAGGCACATACATGAATTCAGCCGAGAAGATTTAAAAAGAAATAAAAATTAGGCACGCAAGTAAACTCTGCCGAGCGGGTCAATCGCTGAGGGGTTTTTCGAAAGAGGTACTGTCATTTGCTTCTCTCACGTGGTCACGGAGTCGGATCGTCTCATGAAAGCTGGCCCATTCATGGTCAATGGTCATTCTTTTCCTTCTCTCGCAAAACGTTGCGACTGGTGCTACTTCTTAGTTTAAATATGCTCTTAAAATTGTAATGACAAGGTCGCGTCATAGAAATTCAATACCAAGCGTCGTCTTGTTTTCATCTGCCCCAAAACAACGCAGGCCACTTAGACGTGAACACATACATATTATTTTATTTTCATTTTTCAAGTGAACCTCTTTATCTCCTTGTGGGCGTCAGTATCGCCTACGGGTCATTACTTCATCTTAGAATAGACAAGGGGAGCCAACTGATAGGAGTGAGTTACGCACATTGAAAGTCGTTCACGAAAACGTGGTCCATTTGTGAGCCGGCCTTTTCTCTCGGTTTATAAACCGGATGACTGCTTATTTATGTTCCAAACCGCGCAAAATAGGGGCCAGTAAGTGGCAGTAATTTCGAAAAGAGAAATTACAAAGCTCATCGATTGTTTTTCCATTTCAAATATGTTGAGACGTAGTACACATTATTTGTTCCTTTTATTCAAATGTTGTGTTATTGTTGATAATTCAGCGGGAATCATGTTAAGTATCAATGCTTTTGTCCAACCTCTCCCCCTTCATCCTCACTCTCCCCAGCAAAACGAAACATACCACAAAAAGCTTTGCCCACCTCCTCTCAAATGAATACAACGTATTAGACCTAAACAGACAACATACTCTCCTCCTCCCCATAGTGACAACCTCCATTCACCCCTCCCTCCCTACCCCCCCCCCCAAAAAAAAAAAAAAATTAAAAAATTTTTAATTAAAAAATCCAGCACGCTCATATGACCTTATGCAGTTGCGAGCGCGTAAAACATTTACAAATTCTAACCCTCCCCCCCCCACCCAACAGACAAAACAGCTTCCCAAACAAAGACACAGCAATAGATAAATAACAAAAATAGACGTACAATACGAAACACCAACAACAAACAAAACCCAAAACCCAAATAAAGCCCACTCTTAAGCCCCAATTTTGACAACTTAATACTCACTTGTTAAAGGGAGGGTGGGTGGGTTCGCATGCTTTGTCTTTTCTTAAACCTGGAATTTTAACCTGTCATCTGCCGGGTGCGAAACTGACGTACAATCCTCTTTTGTGGAAAATTAAACATTTAGTCAGTATTGTCTTGCGCCAGATGTTTCTGAACTCTCTCGTCACGGTGTAACTGTCTTTCATTTGAAAGCCCATTGCCATCTGTTGAAGATTAAGTAAAGGGATATAGAGTAGTACGCTGTTGGTCATTATTCGTTACCGCTCAGGAAATAAATTCAATCTTTTGCGCTTTATCAAAACGATGGCAGGCCCGAGAGAGTAAAAGGTTTTGGTCTTTGGGACGCCGGCAGGGCAAAGGCACCGTCAGCCCGCGTGATTGTTTTCTCTGGTGAGCAACGCGACGGCATACTGCTTTTCTGTTTACTCCCGGAAGGTGTATTGTTTTCATTTCTGGATCGCATGGAGCCTTGGCGGCTTTGTGGGGAAGTCGTCGCGTCTGCTATGGGTAGGCGCCATTTCTTCGTCTGCGCATTGATCTCGTAAAAAGAAAACTGAAGAGAAAGGTGGCAGTCTTTTCGTAAATTGCTAATGTAGTAAGAACAATAAAAACCCAGAGGCAGGTTCATACCGCAGGTTAGGGGAATAGACAGGGTTCGATTTGTCTTCGTGGTTGCTTCAGTTGTTTGGTGAGATGAATATGAACGCAAGTGATATCACAGGCACGCCTTGTCCTCGAGAGTGGACAGTGCTTGGATCTTGACAATTCTGTTGAAAAAATTAATCATAATGCTTATTATTATTATTATTATTATTATTATTATTATTTTTATTATTATTATTATTATTATTATTATTATTATTATTATTATTATTATTATTTTGTTTATTTGCCAGAGAGGTTGTGGAGTATAAATGACACACACCAGCTACGACTACGTGTGTGTGTGTGTGTGTGTGTGTGTGTGTGTGTGTGTGTGTGTGTGTGTATGTGTGCGTGTGTGTATGCGTGTGTGTGTGTGCTTGTGTGTGTGCGTGTCGAGGGGGAGGGGGGTTAACAACCATGGTAAACGTTGTGCCGCGAACTTTACTTACATTTATTCTACAGAAATTGTGAAGTTCTGTGAGAAGATCATGAATGTTTCTCTTCTCTGCTTATGCATCTCAGAAAGGGTGTCAAATATTTGGACTCCAAATGCCGACGATTGCGAGCGACAGTTTTCTTCAATAGCAATTTTTAAAAAATGCAGCCCGTTTGCTGCCTTTGCTCCCTCTGTCCGGGGTTCCTTACGTCTGCGGACATGGTAAGAACTAAGAACAGCCGGAGGCAGGTTCATGTACTCACGATCACATGTTATGAGCCTTCTTCTCATTTTTGTCATGTTTTCTTCTGTCCCTGCAAAGTCTAGACCGGAAGCTTTTGATATCTAACTACATTCAAAAGGCAGTGGGAGCCTTTAATCTGTGGGTTGCGAGAGGTCGAGTAACGGAAGAAAGGGCCGAACCGAACATCCCACGAGAGCTTCACTAGCATGAGGTGACAACTCCTGGTAGTGTTTTAAAACTGCAAACTCTTTTCAGCACGCCGCTCAACTTGCGATCGAATTGTTGTGGATTATACCCAGTGCACACCGCCAATCGGATTCAGTCGATCCAGTCAGGGCTCAATGTTAAAAACTATCAGGAAACGACAAATGCCGTTTTTGGGACACCTGAATAGACGTAAGGGTCTTGAACATCTAGCTCTCACTGGCAAAATTGAAGGCAAACGAGACAGAGGTAGACCAAGAACAATCTAATTAGGGATCCTAACCAAATGGGTTACAGGAAAAAATCAGGGAAACGTAGCTTTTTTGTAGCTTTTTTGAGACCATCCGAGCAAAGGAATGAATGGAGAACCATGATCTCCGATGTCTGTCGCAGATCTGACACTGGATGGTGATGTGGCAGGGCCAGCCCGATATTCCTTCATGGCCCCGATTCAGTCAAATGAATCAGATCGGCAGTGTGCACTGGGTATTAGATGTCTGGTTTGGGCAGGAAGGACGATGCATAAGGAAAATTGCAATTGCGTCCACCTGTTTTCCCCAATTCTCACCAGTTCGAATGGGTTCGATGTCAAATATGTGTGAATGATATATTCCATCCCCCAACCCCTGCCCCATTCTCATGGGAACTAAGACAATAAAATTAGAATGGACCGGCTCTCTAACAAGGTCTTTTTAAAATCGTGTTGGCTTTTCACCGGAGGGGATACAGAGCTGTAAATACGTTTTTAATAAAGCCTCACACCTCTGCAGGGTATAAATGACACGGGTGCTCTAAAATCGTGGGCTTTATTTACGTCAAATCTGTTTGTAGAAAATTCACTCAAATTGCTCACTCTATTTTGCTTCCCCACTTCCACAGCAGTCTGTTGATAGAACTAAGAACTTTCAAGTGGCATGTTCATTGTTCGTATTTTGGTGGGATCACACGTTGCGAGCTTTCTTCTCTTGTTTGCTCAACGCTTGCTTTCGTCTGTTTTCGCGAAGTCTAGTTCGGAGACTGTTGATACCTGGCGACATGGAAGCGGTAATAGGAGCGTTTAGATTAGGCGTTGCGAGCACAATGGAAGATAAGGTCAAAGGTCTGCTGTCCCGGATTATACGCCTATAATAATATATACATGTGTTTGTATAATAACGCTTCCTCCCAACCTGGAGTCCCAGCGGGGGTTAAGTTCTTGGCTTTCAAAACAACACATGATGTGTTTAGTGGGGTGTTTTTTGTTACGTGAGATAAACGAGTTAAGCATCCTGGCGAAGAAGAATTTTCGAAGCGAGAGCACTTGGGCCGGCGTCTATGGTGTAGCGGTTAGGCGCGTCACCGCCGCACGCAGCAGACCTGAGTTTGATTCCGACTTGGGGAGATTTTTTTTGGTTTTGAGTACTTCGGTTATTCTGCCGGGAGGTTTTGCACCTCTCACCCCGTGTTGGTCCTGACAGGCAGGGTTGAAGCCCGCCTCCCAGATGATTAAATTGTGTCCTACATTTAAAAAAGGACACTTGATTTAGAGTTAAGAGTAAAAAAGATTTAAGAAGGAAGAATTCACAGACGATAAGAAAAGTGAACCTCACCCTTGTGCTTCTGAGCAAAGATATTGTTTTGTTTTATTCTGTCATTAGAGAGGTTGAGAGTCTCCTGGTGTGCGATGGGTCTTTTCTTATAAATCGTCGACCCACTGGATGTCTTTGTGCAAAGGAAAAAAGTGGAGAAGGGGTGAGGGCAGGGGGGGGGGGGTTGTACGGGAATCAGGCTTAGGGAACTGAGCTTTGGCACCAACAATATAAGCCATAAAGGTGTGTGTGTGTGTGTGTGTGTGTGTGTGTGTGTGTGTGTGTGTGTGTGTGTGTGTGTGTGTGTGTGTGTGTGTGTGTACACGTGCTCGCGCGCGCGTATATGTTTACGTATTTTGTAAATTACAGTCGAACCTGCCCTGACGGCCACCTCTATAAGACGCCCACCTGTACAAACGGACACTTTCCATTCCCCTCCTTGCGTTTTTTCTATATAATTTAACTATGTAAAACGGGCACCTGTCCAACGCGGCCGCGGCCACCATTATTTTAACACGCAACCCCTTTCACATTGAGTATTAACACCACCTTAGTGACTCCATTACGTTTTGTCAGAAATTGTGCTTTGACCCCTGGCGTGGTGGGCGACCCGTCATAATTTAATCACCTGTCGTTGTTGTTAGTAGTCCCTCCAACCGATCATGTTGCGTAGGCCTCTCCCACTGTTTACCAATAGCTACCAATTTCCAGCTGCTGGTGAGGTAAGCGTGTGATCCCTCATAACCCATAAGCCCCGCCCATAACTCATACACAAATTGTAAGTGAGATGAGTGGTCACTGTTTACCCAGTCTGTAACTGTAACAAAGTAACAATGGACGTCAACATGGACTTGTGACAGAAGCGTCGCTCGTTCTTCGAGTGGTGGCGACCCATATGTTTGTTTTACCATAGCACTCGGCCCTCCTTGTCTGACACATTTCGTTTTATTGTCACCCTTGCACAAAATCAGCAACAAAATAAAATTAACAAACAAAATACAAACCACCACCACCAACAACAACAACAATAACAATAATGCGGCTACTTTCGATTGGGAATGGGGTTTGTTTTCTTCATCTTGATCAGTCCTGCCTAAGACGGACACCTGTCTTATACAGCCACTTTTCTCATTGACAATGGGTGGCGTCTTACACAGGTTTGGTTGTAGTTAAATATTCCATCAACGCCATTTTGATTTCTCGTCTTGCTGGAGGTACATGAATACCCCATCCCATGCCCATGCCCTGGGCTCATACCGCGCATGCCGGCCAGGACTTACGACAAAAATTCTTACAGTGAAGGCGCATTTGCTTTTCTCAAAGTCGATTTTGAGCAATTGCTTTTTTTTCTTTTTTTGAATGGGTCATGAACAAATCTTCGTTGGTACACTGCACGACGAACGATGTCCGACCATATTACCCTCATTATGGTGAGCCAGTGTTATTGCAAGGTTCCTGGTTGAAAGAAAACAAAGTGACTGTGACTGAAAAGAAAGAAATACCCGGAAGTATAAAAACAAACCAAATAAAAAAAGTAAAAAAGACAACAGAAACAAACGAACCGTAAAAGAATAACAACAAACGAAATGGGAAAAAGGAGAGACCCCAGCATGATCTCAACAATAAATTAACCTCCCCCCCTTCCGCTTTCGCGTGTTTTTTTAATGCTTTGGTTTGGCCAGTTTACGATTTTCAACGTTACCCGAGTTGTCGTAGCGGCTTTCAGAGACAGAATTGTTCCGAACAATTATACTTTAAAAGGGTTAGGAAAAATGGACGCCATGGAATTAATCATAACGAATAGTTAAATAAATAAATAAATAAATAAATAAATAATAGAATAACAAAAGGTTTCTCAAACATTGACCTTTGGGACTGAACCTGACACTTTGTGACCTCTCTTTTCCTCTTAGTGTTAAATCCCAGGGCGTGAACTCTCATCTGCATGTAATCGTATCCTTCTTGGACGCTCGTGTGATAAGATTTGAGTATTAAATACTTTTTTCTCGTGTCAAGTTTCCTGGTAAGTCGCCAGTCAAAAGGTACGGCTTTATTAATACGAAACTACCGCTAGTGTCAGTGTTTACGGTATAATTGGAGGATGAGCAGGGTTTATTTCTCGCGAACGAGTCGGATTTAGGAGGGAGATGCTCTCAACGATAGCTAAGGCAGAATTAAGCCTTTTGGTAACCGTTAGTATCTTTGTATCCGATAAACGTCGCCGAGGCCTAGAGCTATGTATCGATTTTCAACGCAAATAACTTAGCCACCATCCCTCCAACAAAGCTGTCACTATTTATTATGTGGATAATGATTGTAAATTGTGAGTGCCTTCTTTTCCTCCGTCGTCTTTGGGTAGATCCTAGCCTAGGGTAGATCTTGTTGAGTTATGTGTGGCCTGTTTGGCGAACAACTGTGTTCAGCTGGACGAACATGAGTGTGACTGTTCTTTGCACGACTTAACTCCGCTGCATAGTGTAAATTGGCTTCTGTTGCAAAAAAATTTAACGCCCCCCCCCTCTAAAACCAAGCAAATAACCAAACAAAGAAAACGAAAACAATAACATCAACTCCTGATTAGACGAAGAAAAATAAATTATATACTGACTAGGCCCATGCACCCCCCCCCACCCCCAACCACGAAAGAAAAACAAGAAGTACAAAACAGAAACAAACGACCATCCCCACCACCACCCCAGTAAAGAAAAAAAAGAAAGTTTAAAAAAACAACTACTTTTTGGGTTCGGTGCCTGCATCATTTACTTCCCCTTTGTGGCTTATCGAGTTACAAACTCGTCCGCTTGAGATGTTATTTTTTTCCTTACTAATTCTTGACCCAAACATGTTACCAGTACGATCTGTTTGATTAAAAAAAAAATTAATGTAATGTTTTGTTTTTTTCGTTACAGTTTTGTTATTTCACCTATGGGACCAAGGACGTGTTGGAGAGAGAGTGTAAGCACTTGGAAAAGAAACTCAAGGTAAGAAGTTCGTTGAAAAAAAAAGAGACATTGATAGCTACTCTAATGGATTTTTGACATTCAAGTTCAAGTGTCTTTCGATATTAGGTAGAGATCTGTTATGCGTGCGTGCATACATATGTCTTTCAGCCACATCCCTGATCTTATGGAAGGAAAAATCTACACCTTGATATCTCGGACAAGGGTGAAAATTCTCGGAGGTTCCGTGTGCAAGTTGCGCACGTTAAAGATCCCTTGGTGGTCCAAAATCGATAAGAGTAGGATTCGGCAGCCGCCCGGGCTAAATTCAAAATTTCCTACCAACTGAAAATGTTTCATGAGTCCCGCGCGCTTATATGACCTTACGCAGTTGCGAGAGCCGTAAAACACTACCCCCCCCCAAAAAAAAAAAAAAAAAAATGTTCGCGGGTGTGTATTTTTTCGTGACTCCGATGTTAGCTTTATCCCCTATTTTTTTCTCTGTGTTACTCTTTGCGGAATGTGTCCTTTATCACACCAACTCAGCCGGCTAAACGCTCTTGCCTTTTCCGATTTCGTCTCATCGTCAGGCAGAACAACACTTAGTTTTGTACAGGTGCTGAGTTCTTTAGGCGCCACATTATTCATGGTGACTTTGAAGAAGGAATCCGAGCTATGGCAAGTCGTTTGAAATATCAACACTTTCTGAAGGAAACTCAGTGATGTTGTTAAAAGCATAATGCAGATATGTCCGCATGCTTCCCTCTCTCTGCAAATGGGTCCTAGTCAGAATTTTGAATTCTTGGGACCAGTGAATTACCATGAATTGGTTACTCTTATTGTTTTATAAAATGACACGTACGTTAGAAAAACGTTTTGCGATGTACCATTCTCTTGCATACCTCTCTTGAAGGCGTTTTCGATTCTTTGGTTGTTGCTTTTTATGTTTTGGACAATATTTTTTAAATAATATAATTTTGGTTCCCATTGAGTTTTCTTATTCGTTTTTTCCTATCTTTTTCCCACCGTCCCAAATACCCAAGCTCATAAATAAGCTCCCCTGTGTACACGTCATGCACTAAACACAAGAGCCGAGACTTTTAGTCCGCAAAAGTTCTTATTTTCTCGCCCAGATGATTGGACTAGAAGTGATACCACAAACAGACGCGCTATATGTTTTATGAGTATTTTGAAAAGAGCTTGATCCTCGCAGCTCGTCGAGTGGATGGCTTTACCCACCAGACTGGCACGGACGAGAGGGCCTATCTCGTTTCCCTTGATGAGTTTTCCATACACACAGCTCGGAGTACTTTTCTGTCTCGGGTCTTTCGTACTTGATAGTCGAGCAGCGGTTTATTGTGCAGCGGTCGAGACTCTTTGTTTTATTGTAGGTTTACCGCGCGCTGCTTTCGTTTCAGTGCATCTCTGCATCTTTTATGCTCTTCTTGGCTAAATATTATTTAACCTCAGAGATAAGCTTTTGTAGCGCAAATCTTAGAAAACCCCATTCTTGCCCCACCCTCTTTTTCGATGGATAGGCATATTATGTGAAAGTATTTAAAAGCTTAGAGAGCGTAATACCACAACAACAACAGGACAGATACTAACAGACGCTAAACCTCTAATACCATACTCAGCTGTTTGAATACCGGTGAGGTACACGCACGTCGTGCTTTCACAATGTGTGCCAGAGAGTTTTAAATCCTTCATCTCTATCTTCCCCTCCGTTGGTTCTGTCTGTTTATCTTAATTGATCTGAGCACAAAATGACAAGGACCGGTAATGCGTGAATATGATTTTTTTCTTTTTTCTCAGAAATCCGCCTGAGAAATCTAATAAATACATGTATAGCCTTCTTGTTTGGCCTGTCGTTGTGCAGAGTGACATAAGCTATTGCATTTTCAGCGTTTAAGTTCTTTCTTATAGCTCATGAAATATGCAGAGAAGTGAAAACTTGAAGAGATGATTGCAGATTGGATTTAGCTGAAGTTTAAATCTTCGCGTAAGTCCTGTCTCTCTCCCCCCTCCCCTCCCTCCCCCTCCCTCTACTCCCCTCCCTCTCCCATCTCTCTTTCTCTAACTCATTCTCTCTCTTTCACCCCCCCCCCCCCTCTGTCCTCTATCTCTCTCAGCCCATCGTAAACCATCTATAAAACAGTGTGTTGTGCATTAGCACCCCACCCCCTTACTCAAGTTCTGCTGCGCGTTTTTCTCTTGACAATGTATGGAGGTAACAAAAGTCACGGGGTTAAGCACCGTGTTTTGACTTATGCACTAATGAAATCGCGCCCCCAAAGCTCCCAAACGCTGCAATTTCGTCCGGAGAAAATGGCGCCTCGATGATATCTTGGCGCTTCCCGTCACACATGGTGATAACAGAGTTGACGAGGGGCGGGATTTACTGGTGACGTTTCGTTCACCGAGAACGATGAAATTGTTTTATGGCCTACTCCTGGTTGTACCTCGCTGCTCCTTTTTTTCGATATTCCACCTTTTTTGTGTGTGAATTTTTGTGTTTGGTTTTAGCATCATTTTACTACGTATAAGTGGCTTTGAAAAGTGCTTCTACAGAAAGGTACCCCGAGAAAACCCAAATCGTTGCCTTTCTAAAGCTCCGTAGGAATCTCAAAACAATACAAGCTTAAACGAAGATCGTGGGTTTTATTTTAAATTTGGGGTAAGTGTTTTACGATGCTCGCAACTACCGAAGGTCAAATGAGCGCGCAGGTCACATTAAGCATTTTCAGTTTGGTAGGAATTGATTTTTGAATTGTGCCCGGCTAGCGGCCGAAGCCCACTCTTGTCGATCTTAGGAACACCAAGGGATCTTTAGTGTGCGCCATTTGCACACGGGACCTTCGATATTTTTACACCCTTATCCGAGAACGCTAGATGTTTGCGTTACATCTTACCTACCCTAAGATCAGGGGTGTGGCTGAAAGACAGCATGGCAGTAAGAAGGAGCCTAGTAACAGCAGTAGAAAGGCAACAGAAATAACCAGGAACCCAGATGAGGGGCCAAAGAAGGGGGGGGGGGCAGAAAGTGGAGACGAAAGGAGACGATAGAACATGATTAGAGAGAGCAGAGAAGGTGAAAGAAGTTTTTTTTTCAGAGACGGAAATTTTCCGTCGCTGTCAGGTTTCGAGCCCGGGACGTATTGCATGAGAGGCGAACACCGTACCTATCTCTAGACCACGAGAGCCCCCCAGACCGTGTTTGACTTAGATTGGGCCGTTTGGGTGGCTGTGTCGAGCAATTATAATATGTACTGTTCGTCAGGTAAAGAGTATAGGATAGTTACACCATGTGCTCCTTGATTAACCTGTTATCCTCTTCTTGGCTTTTTAAATCCGCGGAGGACCATCTCAAAGTTCACATCCTTTCTCATCTAGAAAGTAGACCCCACACTCCGCCACGTTTAAAAAAGGCAAACAAATGACACCCCCCCCAAAAAAACCCCCCACAAAAAAACCAACACAAAAAACAAAACCCAACCCCAAACAAAACAACAAACAGAAACAAAAAGAAAAACGAAAAACAAACCCAACTGACAGCTGCGGAATTAACAATCATATTAACAGCCTCAACCGTTGCAGCAACAACGAAAACGGCGACCGAAACACAATCTTGTGCAAAAACAAGCAGATGACGATTCTTGACACTCCCTTTATACGCTTTCAGTGAGACATTTTGAGGTTTGAACGTATCGAAAGAAAGGAGAGCGGAACGGGCACGGAAAAAGGGGGAGGGGGGGGGGTGAGGGATAAGGGATAAATGCCAAATATTGGCATGCCAAGTAAATGTATTGGCATGCCAAATTTATACCAAATCAAACTGAGCCATTTCACTTTTCTCAGAATCAAGCTGTTTTTTAAAAAAATATGCGCATGCCATGGATGAGAAATATACCCAGAAATTGGCATTATTCGTGT